TTTTCTTTTTTTTTTTTTTTGGTCTTTTTGAGACAGGGTCTCCCTGTAGCCCCAGCTAGCCTGGATTCACTATGGAGATCAGGCCAGCCTCCAACTCACAGAGATACGCCTGCCTCTGCCTCCTGAGTGCTGGGACTATAGGTGTGCACCACCATGCCCAACTCCCAGTCCTTTTTTTTTTTTTCTTGAGATACTGTCTCAAGAAAAAAACTCAAGCTCTGGCCTCAAACTCAACTGCCCTCAAACTCAACTGTGTAGACCAAGCAGACCTTGAATTTGTTACTCTCTTGCCTCAGCCTCCTGAGTAGCCAGGATTATAGATATGTGCCACTAAGTCTGGCTTCAAATGAACATTTATTTTATTTTTTTAAATATTTACTTTTTTTTTTAGTCTTTTTGAGACAGGGTCTCCCTGTGGCCCCAGCTGGCCTGGAACTCGCTTTGTAGACCAGGCTGGCCTTGAACTCACAGAGATCCATCTGCCTCTGCCATTTATTATTTGTAATCATATGTATGGTGCCATCTCTATTTTACTTTGCTTTTAAACACATACTGGTTTATTTTACCTTTTATTTTAATAATTATTTATTTTGTTTTTTAATTAATTTTTTTCAATGTGTATAAGTATATTGCCTGCATGCATGTAAGTGCACCCATGTGGTGCAATGCCCGAGGAAGTCAGAAGAGGTTGTTAGATTTCCTAGAACTGGAGTTATAGACGGTTGTTAGCTGCCATGTGGGTGCTGGGAATCAAACCTGGGTCCTTTGTAAGAGCAGTCAGTGCTCTTAACCTCTGAGCCATCTCTTCAGCCCCTACTTATTTTGTTTTTTGAAACAAGGTCTCCTTATAAACTCAGCTGTCCTGGAACTCACTCTATAGACCATGCTGGGCTTGATCTCACAAAGATCTACCTGCCTCTGCCTCCTGATTGCTGGGACTAAAGGCATGTGCCACCATACCCATCTTATTTATTTATTTTTATTCTATGTGTATGAGTGTTTTGCCTGCACTTATGTAAGTGCACCCAGGTCATGCAATGCCCATGAAGGCCAGAAGAGGGCATTGGATCCCCAGGAACTGGAGTCAAAGATGACTGTTAGTAGCTATGTAGTTGCTGGGAACCAAACTCTGGTCCTCTGCAAAAGTAGTCAGTGCTCTTAACCACGGAGCCATTTCTTTAGCCCCTATTTTACATCTGTGTGTGTGTGTGTGTGTGTGTGTGTGTATGCATGAATCATGTGGCGGTTCACATGTGACCCATATGTGTATGCATGAACCATGTGGAGGTCCGAGTTTGGCAACCCACAGGAGTCAGGTCCCTCTTTCCACCATGTGGTTTCCAGGGATCAAACTTAGGTTGTCAGGTTTAGCAGCAGGCACCTTTACCCACTGAGCCATCTGGCTGGCCCTAAAAAGGACATTTTATTTTATTTTTAAAAGATTTATTTTTATTTTTTATTTATGCATATGTATGTCTGTGTGAGTGTATACATACATGTGTGTAGGAGTGCCCTCAGAGGTCAGAGGAGGGCTTTGGATCCTTTGGAGCTGGAGTTACAGGCATTTGTGAGCCTCAAAACACAAGTGTTGGCATCAGAACCCAGTGCCCATGATTGAGCAACAAGTGCTTTTAACCACTGAGCCAGCTTTCCAATAACTATATTGGGCACTTAAAAAAAAGATTTGGGGGCTGGAGAGATGGCTCAGTGGTTAAGAGCACTGATTGTTCTTGCAGAGGACCCGGGTTCAATTCCCAGCACCTACATGGTGGGCTACAAACCGTCCTTAACTCCAGCCCTCTTCTGACCTCCATGGCATTGCACAACATGGGTGCATTCATATACACGCAGGCAATACACTCATACACAAAATAAAAATAATAAGTAAAATATTTTAAAAAAAAGATTTGGGGGCTGAAGAGATGGCTCAGTGGTTAAGCACATATATGACTCTTGCAGAAGACTTGAGTTCAGTTTCCAGCACCCCTATCAGGTGACTCACAACTGCCTGTAATTCCAGCTCCAGGGGTATCCAATGCCTCTGGTTTCCTTTGGCATCTGTACTCTTGTGTACATGCCAACACACAGATACACATAAATAAAACAATTTTAAAAAATTTTTAAGTGTGTGCACGTGTGTGTGTGTGCATATATGACTCAGTGTAGGCCATGTGTGTGCTGGTACCCATGGAAGCCAAAAAAGGGCATCAGATACCCTGGAACTAGTGTTATATGTAGGCACTTGTGAGCAGCCCAAATGGATGCTGGCAACCAAACTCAAGTCCTCTAAAAGGGCAAAGAAGCGCTCCTGACCACTGTACCATCTCTTCATCCTTAAAATGGACATTTTTTTTTTTATCTTTTTGAGACAGGGTCTCCCTGTAGCCCCTGTCCTGGAACTCACTATGTGGACCAGGCTGGCCTGGAACTCACAGAGATCCGCCTGTCTCTGCCTCCCAAGTGCTGGGATTAAAGGCGTGTGCCACCATGCCCGGCCTTAAAATGGGCATTTTAAATCGCTAAGATAGAAAACTATTATTTGCCATAAAGGAGAGGTTGAAGGATTGGGTGGAGACATGGATCCATTGGTAGAGTGCTTGCCGAGCATGCATGAAGCCCTGGGTTCACCCCCCAGCTCACGTAAAACCAGGCATTAGTGGTGCACAACTATGATCCCAGCACTTGGGTGGAAGATAGAGACCAAAGGGTGATGGGTGGACTGGGGCCAGTTTGGGGAAGATGTAGGTGGATGGATGATTCAGGAGTTGCAGCTGGCCTGTGCTCCTCTTGGGGACCCTCCCCTTGGGGACCCTCCTCCTGGGGACTGGGCATCTCTCTTCTCTGGAGTCTCCGGGGACCTTGGCACAGATCTTCATCCACAGTTTGTGTTGACTATGCCAGGAGAGGCAGGAAGGCCAGCTCAGCTCGGCAGTGGACCTATGGGTGCAAAGAGTGAAGGAGGGGGCATAGGCCATATTTGGTGGCAGGTCTGGGCTGGTCCCTTCCTATTTCCTCAAGTGATCCTCACCACCACCCTGTGAACCTCAGGAATAAACTGATATCAGAGAGCAGAAGGAACCTGCCCAGGGTCACACAACAAACAGATGGAAGTGGAACCCAGGTATGGTCCCAAGGCCATGATGACCCACAATTTCAGGAGTCTAGTGAGACCCAGGGTCTTGGCCCTCCCTCCCTGTGGTGGGAGGAGCGAGAAGGCAACCAGCTGACAGCTGGTTGGGGCCCTTTCCTTGTTTCTGACTTTGAGTGACCTTAGGCTGCAGTGGGCCCTCCCTGGGCTCGGTTGTATAATTACGTATAATTGCGGTTTTCTATTTGTGTTTAGAGCAGGGACATGCTGAGATCTCCAAACTTGCTGGGATTCCAATTTTCTTACCTTCAAGCTATGAACTGAGGAGAGAGCCCCAGTTTGGCCTGTCTTGGACTGAACTCACTGCTGAGTCATCTAGCCCTGTTCAACCCACCTTCCTTTTGGCATTCCATCTTGTTGGCCTGCCTCCTGCAGGTCTAGAAGCACCAGGAGGTCAGAGAGGCAAAGGGATTCTGTGTGTGGATCCTGGCCACTGCCCAGCCCTTCCCTTTCTGAGAAAAGCTGGGGGTTGGGGGGACACAGTGTTCAGCAGTTGCATCAGAAAGCCTTGCACAAGACACCCTCCTGGATAGACATAGCTCTGCCCCCAGCCCCACCCCACCCTCTGGCCCCAGTGAGGCTTCAAGACAAGCTGGCTTTTATGGAGTGACGGGGAAGCCTGGCCCTCCAGAAATGATGGATGGGAGGTTTGGGGCAGGTATTAAGAAGACTCAGGCAGGCTTCTTGGCGGCCACAAGGCACTCCTTAGGGGAGCTGGAACCAGTTCCACCCTGTCTCTTTCTGGAAAAAGGGGGTACTAATTCAGGGTCTTAGACGTTGATTGAGCCCTGATCTTTGACTCTAATCATAGACTGAGCCCTATTGCCTCTTCACTCTGACCTCACACCATGGGACAGTCTGATTCCTAATGGTTGACATTAGCCATGACAACTCTGATTCCACTCAAGCTAAGCATAGGCTTGGTCACAGACTGTGCACCCAGCTTTTCCCATCCTCATCCATGTTCAGAGTTCCAATTCTAGCTTCTAACCGAGTTTTGAGACTTGAGGAAAGTTTAGTTCCATCTAATCTGACACTCGTGACCTCAGATCCCAGATAAACCCAACTCTAGCCCAAAATACTCTCCTTAAAGATACTCTCCATCAGTTTAAAAGGGCGTAGGATTTGGCACCAAGAGCTTGAAGTCTATTGCCTGCCTTCCTGTATGCTGGTCTTCTCCTCACAGATAGGTCAGTTCCTGCTGACTACCCAAGCCTGACTCAGCAGGGTGAGGTGGGAGTGCAGTCAGGCAGAGCCACTGGGATGGATGGGCAGGTGCTGAACCAGTGCAGGAAGGATAGGGATGGAGTTCTGAGCTGTGGAGAGGGGGTGGGAAGCCCCAGAGCATCCTGTTCCTTTCCATAGTGACACTCTAAATGGCATTATGCATTGTTTTGTTTTGTGTCTTTCCCCTGTCTAAACCATAAGCTCCATCAGGGCAGGCTCCATCGTTCTTGGCTTGCCAGTGCATCTCTAGCACCCAATTCCATGCCTGGCATGTGGAGGTGCTTGGGAAACAGAAGCTAAAAACATTCCATTCAATCACCCACCTCATCATCTACACATTCAACTTCTCTGGGTTCTTACTTCTCTCCATCTTCCACCCACACTATTCAGCAAGCAGCTGAATTCATTCATGCATCCTTCTTTCCAGTAGCAATGATATATGTATATATTCACTCAACAGGTATTCACTGAGCACCTGCCACTTGTTAAGTACTGTTGTAAAGGCTGGGGATACTGCACAGAGGTTAACATAAAAACAGTGCTTACATGCCATGGTAGGTGCTGGGGGAAAGGTTATGGAAGAGTGGGTGAAGACAGCATGGGGACTGAGGTACGGGGGAAGGCCAGTCCAAGAACACCAGAGGGGAGACTCTCTGGAGGACAATCACTCAAGCCGAGGCAGCTGTTGCAAAGATTCCCAGGGCTATACGCTTGGAACAAGTAAGAGGGTGGCAGCGGTAAATGAGATCAGAGGAAGGTTCAGAACATGTGGAGCCTTTGAATGGACTCTGGGGAACAGTAATGAGTCTTGGATGGGTTTAAGCAAAGGAAGAATGTGGTCTAACATTTTTTTTTTACAGGGTCTCCCTGTAGCCCCAGCAGGCCTGGAACTTACTATGTAAATCAGGCTGGCCTTGATCTCACAGAGGTCCACCTGCCTCTGCCTCCAGAGTGCTGGTACTAAAGGCGTGCGCCACCACATCTGGCCGTGGTCTGACTTGAGGGAGCTGTGCTTGGAATGGACTGCAGGAAGAAAGAACAACAGACAAGGAAGCAGATTTTAAAATAATTCCAGCTGTGTGAGTGCTGCAATGGGATTGGACTCTGGGGATACAGATGCTTTCTCCATCTGTGATGGGGTTACCCCTCCATAAACTCATAGTAAACTGAAAATAGTCTAAGTCAAAAGTGCCCTCAATAGGACTTATGAGATGCTCAGAGTGTGTTTTAGTTAACTTTCTATTGCTGTAGCAAAACACTGACCAAAATTAACTCGGGGTGGAAAGGGTTTACTTGGCTTACACATCCTGATCACAGTTCACCATTGAGGGAAGCCAGGGCAGGAACTTAAGGCAGGAACTTGGATGCAGAAGCTGAAGCAGGAGACCGCAGAGGAACACTGCTCACTGGCTTGCTCCTCTGCCTATGCTCAACCTGCTTGCTTTTTTTTATTTTTAAAAAAATATTTTATTGGGGCTGGAGAGACGGCTCAGTGATTAAGAACACTGGTTGTTCTTGCAGAGGACCTGGGTTCGAATCCCAGCACCCACATGGCAGCTAACAACTGTCCATAGCTCCAGTTCTGGGGGAATCAGATAGCCTCTTCTGTCCTCATGGGGTGTTGCCTGGCACGGGTGCACTTACACACATGTAGGCAATGCACTCATTCTTTTGGTTGTTATTGAATAGATAGCCAAGCTCTCCTCCACAAAAATCTCTTACATATATTCCATTTTATTATTATTATTATATTACTATTATTGAATGTATCACCTGCATGTGTGTAAGTGCACCTGTGTCATGTAATGCCCAAGGATGTCAGAAGAGTGTGTCAGATTCCCCTGGAACTGGAGTTATGGTTGGTTGCATAGCTGCCATGTGGGTGCTGGGACTCGAACCCTGGTCCTCTGCAAGAGTAGTCAGTGCTCTTAACTGCTGAGCCATCTCTCCAGCCCCCAACCTGCTTTCTTATACATCACAGGACCTGCCTAGGTGTGGTACCACTCTCAGTGGGCTGTACCCTTACATACCACTCAACAATCAAGAAAAAAACCTCACAGACCTATCCACAGGCTAATCCGATAAAGAAAGTTCCCCAACTGAGGTTCTCTCTTCCCCGTGTCAAGTTGACAGTTGAAGCTATCCAGCAAGACTGACCACTTGCCAACTTGATGCAAAAACACAAACCTTTCCATTTCTTGTCTCCCAAATCTCATGTTAATAGTAATATTACATTATAAAACATAGTACAACTTTAAAAGTTGCACAGTCCTTAAAAATTCCAATACTTAAGAGCTCAATGTCTCTTTAAAATAATTCAGTCTCTTAATTATGGGCTCGTATAAAATAGAAATAAAAGACAAGTTAAATATTTCTTACTCCAAAAAGGAAGAATCAGGGTACAATCAGATCAAAGCAAAACCAAAATCAAACAGTATAAATAGACCTGTGTCTGATAGCTGAGGCTCAATCACAATCTATGGTGTTCCAAAGGGCTTGGGTAGCTCCATTGCTCTGGTTCTGTGATCACAGCACACACAGCTTGTTTTGTAAGCTCAGACTGGCCCCAATCCACAGCTGCTGCTGGCCTTTTGTGGTTGTCCTACCAACCATCTCCAATATGCCGGGGTCTCCACTGCAACTGAGGCTGCACCTTCACCAGTGGCCTCTCCTAGTCTCTCTCGATACCAAGCCTCAGGTTCTCTCCATGACCCCTTCAATTATGCCAAAACAAGTACCGTGTATGGACTCTTACATATTACCAAGCTTGGCTTCTAGCTTAAGATACAGCCTTGGCTCCCTCTGGCCACAGCTTCTGTGTACTGACCCTTGAGGAAATCTCAGATTTTACTCCAGTGATGCCAGTCTCTTGTTAACCACAGCCATTTTCTTTTAGTCCCAGCTAACCAGCACTGATGATCCCAAGAATGTAAAGAAGGTTTCACTTCCACAGATTCTTAATCCAAAATATATCACACAAATGGCCTGGATAGCATCTTTGAGTGACTCTCAAATTTCTCTCTGAAACTTTAAAAGCCAGGCCTTTACATTTCTCCAAGTCAGCTCACTAAGCTCCAAGCACTCAATGAATTTTCCACTCAAAAGTTCTAAATGCTTCCACAAGCCTCCCCAAAACAACAGTCAGGTCCTCACAGCAATACCCCATGATCCTGGCACCAACTTCTATTTTAGTTTGCTTCTCTATTGCTGTGGTAAAACACTGACCAAAATCATCGGGTGTGGTGGCGCACACCTTTAATCCCAGCACTCGGGAGGCAGGGGCAGGTAGATCTCTGTGAGTTCAAGGCCAGCCTGGTCTACACAGCAAGTTCCAGGACAGCTGGGGCTACAGGGAGGTCCTGTCTCAAAAAGACCAAAAACAAAACAAAACAAAACAAAACAAAACAAAACAAAACAAAACACTGACCAAAATCAACTTTGGGAAGAAAGGGTATATTTTACCTTACACTTCCATATCACAATCCATCTTTGAGCGAAGTCAGGCAGGAACTCGATACAGGAACCTGAAGCAGGAACTGAAGCACAGACCATGGAGGAACGCTGCTTACTGGCTAGCTCCCCTGGCCTGTGCTCAGCCTGCTTTCTTACACAAAACAGGACCACCTGCCCAGAGGTGACACCACCTACCCTCAACAATCAAGAAAACGCCTCACAGAGGTATCTACAGGACAGTCTGATAGAGGAAATTCCAAACTGAGGTCCCCTCTTCCCAGGTGTGTCAAGTTTACAAATGAAACTCTCCAGCACGGGGGTAAAAGTGCTTGCCACCAAGCAATGCAAGCCCGACACCCTGAATTCAATCTCCGCAACCCACATAAAGGTGGAAGGAGAGAACGCCACAAAATTTTTCACCACGGCACATGTGCTCCCCCCTCCATCATATACACAGTAAGAATATATATATATATATATATATGTCTTTTTGAGACAGGGTCTCCCTGTAGCCCCAGCTGTCCTGGAACTTGCTGTGTAGACCAGGCTAGCCTCAAACTCACAGAGATCCACCTGCCTCTGCCTTCCGAGTGCCGGGATTAAAGGCATGCACTACCACACCCAGCCTATAAAATATTTTTTAAAAGAAAGATCTACCTGCCCCTGCCTCCCGAGTGCTGGGATTAAAGGCATGCACCACCACACCCGGCAAGAATATATTTTTAAAAAGTTATTTGCCAAGCTGGAGAAATAGAGATGCTCATGAAGGTTTCATGGGGGTTTCTCTTGTCCTGACTGATGACTGTCCGTAGTTTGCCTCCCTGAAGGCAAATGTGGAGGAGGAACTCACCTTGGTGTTGGGAGGTGGCACTGCTGGAGCAGATGTGGCTATGGCCAGCATGGAGACTCTGTGGTGGCTGCAGAGAACAGTATTGCTTCCTCTGTGCTTCCTCCCTCCTCCTCTACTCACACAGGATGGGCTCTCACGTGTCCATAATGTCCCCATCTCCACACCCAGCAGGTCATCTGGCTCCCTTCTTTCCCTGTTCCTCTTTCTGTCATTTAACATGTCCTTGGCTCAGGGATTCTGGAAGTCTGGGCTGAGTTGACATCCTGCCTTTCTGTTGAGTCCATAAGTTATCAGATAACAGAATCCTAGACTATCTGGCCTGGTTCTGCCCTCCTGTGGAGCAGTGTGAAGGAGTGTGCGGATATTGGTGTGTCTGGCAGGAATGGGTGTAAAGGAATCACAACAGACCTAGGCTCAGTCTCTCCATAGCCTCTAATTATCTGAGTGATGTTGGACCAGCCCCTTGACCTCTGAGTGTCATGTCTCCTGCCTATTCAGTAGAGACAGCAATACAGGAGCTGATTCTTGCCAGCTTTGCTCAGTCACCTTCTACACCCACTTTATTCTCTGGACTCCAGCTTCAGGTCCTTTGTTCTAGCCCTGGAACCTGTCAAGCTCTCCCTGTCTCAAAGCCTTTGCTTCTGAGGTCCCATCTTTCCAGACTCCTTCCTCCTTTTCCTTCTCCCCCTCCCCCTCCCCCTCCCAAAAAAAATCCTCCTTCCCCCCTTCTCCTCCTCCAACAAGTATGGCAATTTTTAATTAAAGAAAAACTTCCAGGCTCACTTTTCGCCAGTCTGTCCTGCGATGCTTCTAGCAATAGCAGAATCTCTTGGATCAGCACCACCAGTGTGCAGACTCTGTAGTATTTTCCACTGGTTGTGCCCAATTCACAATTATTGCCTATGTAGTAGTGATGGACACAATTTTGGCCAACACGGCATAATATTCTATTTCAGAATTCCTCAAAGCTGGGCAGTTCTTGGCAAGAATGACCAATTTTCTTTGCCCTGTCTAATCATCTTCAGAATCTGTTTGCACATACTTTCCACTTTTCACAAATTGGAGCCTAGAGTTATCAACTCCAGAGACTTTTCTGTCTTCTTTGCAGCAACCATCTTCCTGTGTTAGGTGCAGGCCAGTTCCAAGCCAAGAGCAGTTGCCAAGATGGCCCAGGAGTGAGAAAGGAAGGAGTCCCAGCTCTGTACTCTTTTACTCAGAGGACCTGTCATAATTTGACATGAGCTTATTTAGGTATTAAATTGCATATTATTATGGTTTAATCCCAGCACATCAGAGGCAGAGACAGGCGGATCTCTGTGAGTTCAAGGTCAGCCTGGTCCACATAGTGAGCTCCAGGCCAGCTGGGGCTACAGGGAAACCCATCTCAAAAAAGATTTAAAAAAATAGATATTGTCTGTCCCTTTTGCCCCCACTAAGACCTAAGGACCTGCCCTGCCCTGTACATGCATGGGACCTGCTGAGTATTCAGTAAACATTTGTAGGATGAAGGTCTATAAACTGATGAGCATGGATCCTAAGAGCCATAAAAACTCAACATTGGTCTTTAGTATTCTTTTTTAAATATTTCATTTGTTTTTATTTTATGTGTATGAGTGTATTGCCTGCATGCAATGTCCTCAGAGGTCAGAAGAGGGCATCGAATCCCCTGGAATTGGAGTTGCAGATGGTTGTTAGTCACAATGTAGGCGCTGGGAATTGA